GGCCATGGATGCTGATTCCCCTCTGTGTCGGGGCAGGCACTGGGGATGTCTCTAGGCCGGTAAGGAAGTGCTGAGCTGCACTTCACATTCCCTAGGAAGTTCAGGGCCCCTTGGATGCCGGGTACTTTTGTGGCCCAGGTGAACAGGTTATTTAGCCAAACCGGCTCGGTGGGTTTGGGCTGAAATCAAAGCCAATCCTGCTGGGGTTGTGTGGGCTTTAATGTCCCTGAACTGCCCTGGCACTGCCTTCCCCCACGGGCGCGTGGGGAGCGCGAGGCCGCCCAGCAGTTAGGCCTTGCAGAGGAAGGTAACGGTTGTCTGCACGTAGTTTAGTTCTTGCCCTTGGTGTCCAGGACTCTCTGTATCAGGATGGGGGCCCAAGTCCGCAGAAGGTGATAAGAGATTCCCAGAGCGGCCGTATCGGCTCCGTGCGAGCCCGGAGCAGGCGGCTGTGTCAGCTCTCTGCAGTAGCATTGGCCTGCCTGTCCCCTCCAGGTAATTTGCTCCCTGAAAGACCAAGAACAAAAGCCAAGTCTTCCGGCGAAGCTCCCTGCACAAAAAGTGAGAGTTTTTTCTTCAAACACCTCTGTGTAAATACAGGCGCCGTCACCCGTGACTTTGGGCTCTTTACTGCGCTAGGCACAGAGTCCCCGTTCATGCAAGGTCCCCTCTGACAGCAGGCGCTGGCAGCGAGCCCTGCACCACGCCTGCGCTCACAGTCACTCCCGCTCGTGCTCATTAACTCTGCAGCTCGTTAGGGAGATCCTAATCTGCTTCCTTCTCGTGCGGCTTTGCGCGTTGGCTCGCAGGGCTCGGCTCCCCCCGCCCGCGCACCCAGTTTTCACAGCGCTTCCTTTCAGGACGGCTCTTAATTGTGCCTGGCCGCGGCTCCGTGTGGCCGCGCGCGGACAAAGCGGCTCTGTGTGGCCGGGGGTGGCTGCGAGCGGCAGCGCCAACGCGCGCCGGTGCGTCCCAGCACGTCTTTGCGCAGCCGGCCTCACGGTGACACAGTCCCCGGGGCTGGGGAGGACTGTGCAGGAGCAGGACGTGTCCCCATGGCCCCACACAGCCCCGGGGTCTGGCCCTGTGGTGGGTGACAGGGCCCCATCCCCACTGCTCTGTGTGGACATGGGATGCCCCCACTCCAGTCACGTTTTCCAGTGGAATGAGCCCCTCTAAGCCATGTTGCACTAAATGCTGGGGTGTTTTCTGGTGTTGAGACCCTTGGGGGGATCTTTGTAGCAACCTCTGCAGCCTCCTGGGTCACGCTGGCAAGGCAGCTCACCGACCCAGGAAAGCCTTGGCGGGGAGGATGGCGAAAGCTGGGCTAACGCGGGGAGGAAACGGCTTCTTATGCAGCCAAACCCTCTCCCTTAACGG